TCACCAAACTGAATGTCTCCCATGGGAGGATGTGAAGGAAAGCGATGACGCTCTGGTGCGGTTGTACAGTGATCCGGTCCATAGGGCCGCCGGTCTAGACGGTCTATGGAACAAAAGGAATAAGATGCCCCTCGTTCTGTTGAATGAGGGTGTCGGAGAGGTAAAGGGCTTCGGCGATGCCACGAGCTTGCCTGGTGTTTGGAAGTTTCTGGATGCAGTGAATGCCCCCTTCCACTGCGCCGAGAGTGGAAGGGGGAGGTGTGCAGCAACGGCGACTCATGGGGGTTTCGCATTTCTGAGGCTGATGTGGAAGAATCTTCCGCTTCCTCTACATCCCAATCATTTTCACTATAGAACTCTTCTGGATCGGATGAGATGCCATCATCTTCCGGGCGTCGAAATGGATGGCCATTGAATTGCAGCAGGATATACCCATCTTGGATGAAAGTGCATAGACAAAAGAACCGAACTGCCCCAGGAGGGTACGTGGGTCTGGCAGGCTCGAAACGTTCGCGATAACGGAAATCAGCGAACGCAGAGGCAAGCTCATGCAATACACCTACACCTATTGATCCTGATGTCCCATGTGAGATATTCTCTGCGAGGTGCTGCTCCCAGTGCTGCACACAGACGCATTCAGCGATGGCCAGATTGGTGTCCATTGTTGCCCTCTTCATAGCTTTTGACCATTTTGACGGGTCTAGTCACCTGATGAAGACTTCACCCAAGGTCTTTCCTACAGTCCAGCCTTCTTTTCCACCGGGATATGGGAAAGGGATGGGCTCGGGTGATGGCATTGGCAGAGGCATGGGGTGAACAAAACACCGCAAATACCGCCGTGCCCCATTGGGAAATTGATCATACTCTGGTGGGAAAAGTTTGGGCTCAGCTTGTATACATGAATTAATGGCTTCTTGAAGCAGTGCTTGACTAGGGCGGGTGAGGGACTCGGAAGGAAGGATGAATATTTCGAACACAGCATGGTAATAATGAACTGAGTACGGTAACGATAGCTTGCTCCATTCAAATGTCCCATGCAGCAAGTGATCGACAACAGGACTAACCACTTCCTCCACCCATGCAATCCGCACCTGTCCCGAAAGGAGGCGCAAGGGGCGTCGTGGCCCATCCCAGGCAAGTGATTCAAGTGTGCGAATATAGAACACGCCATCGGGATTTAATCTCCATCCTTGGCAAAGGCGATTGGCGTTTGGGACAGGAATAGGCGAGGTTCTGACGTCCCCAAAGCTCATGCTTGCAAATCTGTATGCTACTGACTTTGTGATTGGGGAGCGGTAATGACAATGGAATAGAAGTTAACACTGGGGTCTACGAGCTCCGTGAGGAGGATTGGGGAGGGCGATAGGACGTCTGCAGGCGGTCAGACCAATATGTGCTACCTGAGCGGTGAGGGAAGTTTAAGATCGGAACGATGAGGCTCACAGTGTCGATGGCCTGGTGGGGCCCAACGGGTTTACCAATACCTGAGGCACAGAACGAAGCAGACGACGGGGGGAAGATAAATGGAGCAGAGAGAAATGGCGAGACATGCCACACCCTGGTACTGCTGCCTGTGGGAACTCCGCACGACCTGAGTCCTTGGATCGATAACGGGTTCACTGGTGTCCGAGGCACAGAACGAAGCAGAGAAAAAGGAAGAGAAACGGAGCAGAGAAACGGCGAGACCTGTCGCACCCTGGTATTGCAGTGTGTAAGAACTCTGCAAGACCTGGGTGTTTAGATCTGCGATCGATTGATATCTCTGGAGTGGCAGGGGGACACTAGGGCCCTCCGCTTTCCAGAAACGTCACGGTCCTGAACGGAGCAGTACTACCCATGAACAAAAGCAAAGTTCTATCAGTTCAATCGTTCAGACAACATGAACGAAAGGTGAACAGCACTTACATTGAAACAAACATAGGCTACCTCAACGCTGCTGGAGTGAGGAAGGATACCCACCATTCACGTTGTAATTGTGTGGCCGTCGTTCAACGATGAGAGTGTTGGAGATCCAACACCACAAGTGCCACAGGGTAGAAATTATTAGCAATGTTCAGCAGTAAAATTCAGTGACACCAGAGTATGCTGACCTTTGATCATGAGGCAAATGGGTTCGCTATCGTGGTGATGCTGCTTGAACGGAGAACACGGAGGTGTTGTATAATGTATTGGCTTGTCACACTTCCACTTAATCCTTACATGACCTGGCATGAATAATCCCCAGGTGCTACCAGCCCCTTCTGGTGGGTCGCTGGCAACTGAAACAATGTATCACAGGGCACCAATACTGTCTCTGCCGATTTCGAGGAGAAACGCAGTCGTGGATGTCCTCGATTGTACTCAACAGCAGATGAGCGCCAGGCGGCTAATACACTTCAACAGCGCAATCGTCGGGCAAAACTCAGAGAGTACGAGATCAATATGGATTATATTGGATAGTATACGTTGGCTAACATGGCACCGAATAAAGAGAGATGGGACCCACACCCGGTTCCCTACCTGCTGCACCCTCAGAGCCAGCATCCGCTCCCCATTCAATGACCTCTCAGGCACTCAGGGGGTAAGACGCCATGACGACTGGACTACAGGTAAGGTGAGGTACTAAGAAATCTTAAAAACAGGGGGATCGGCGCAGTGCCACTGCTCACGCCCCCAAGTGTCAGGCATCCAAGAGCGTTACAGTGTCAGGGGACGACTCCCGGGTCCCCATGACCCTCCCCTATGGTCCACAGCCCTGAGGTGTAACCAGCCCTATCCAGGGCACAACCTACTGTGGGTAAGGAGATGAATAGATAAAGCAGTAGGTAAGGTACACTTGCCTACTGTGGGTAAGGAGATGAGAAGGAAGCTAACTTCTCATCTTCCCACAGTGGCCACAATATCAGCAAAACTTCCGGGGATACCCGGAAGTCACATGAAGGGATAGGAACCGGGTCCGGAGCATGCGGCGTGTGGAGCGTGCACGCGTGCGGGAAGCACGGCAGGTGGAAGCGGGTCCGGACGCGGGTCCGGGTCCGGGCTAGTCAGGGTGTGTGCCCTGACATACAGACACCTGATGAAGACGATCCACTCTCAGCCCTCGAGCATTTGCCTGCCATCAGAGAGGCTTCAGAGTGTTCATATTGTGAGGTCGACTTAACTGACTATCTAAGGCTTGCGGCGAGATGCAAGGAGTTGGAGGATGAAGTTCAGAGGCTCAGAGCGGAAATGTCAATGGATTCGTGCAAAGAATAACCTTAGTGGACATATTCCGTGGGCTGTTACATGCAGAAGTTGACTACCGACTCATTCCATGCACTGCTGGAGGAGGGGGGAAGGAAAGGCACATGGTGGACATCGTAAATGCTGAGGTACAAATTTAGGCTCCTGATCATGGGTAGGTGGCATGCAGTATCTACCTCACGTTGCAACTGCCGGAAGCACTTCGGGGTACAACCATTCGTTGAATCGTCGTGTTCTATGGTTTCTCTGCGGTGTGGCGCTGCCTTTGTCTATAATGTGAACAGCTTTATCCTTCCATGGAAGTGACAGTGGTTCCTTCACAAAGAAACGCGCAAACTGGTATCTCGCTGCCTGGGCCCACCACCCTTCCTCAACTTCCTGTTGCATCTCCGTTTGGCATTTGACTCACCTCTATGCTCAGTATGAGCTTGGGTTCCATGCATAGGACATCAGCAGCGACCCAGGATCGGGAATGCTGACCCCTGGAATATCTGTAAATGCACATCTTCACTCTGTCGGATGCACACTGACAGCCACCTCGAAAATTCTGCCAGCAGTTCGTTCAGAGGCGCTATTGAAAGAAAATGTCAAATGCTTGGTGGAGATCGACATCATTAAACTGCACATCAACAAGAAGGTACCACCTCCTTCTTGGACATGGCTCAGCACTGGAAAATCGTTAGGGACGTTGGAGATGAGCTTCGTGGTAAGGGTGCCGATGTAGAAGACTTGCCAGGGACATGGTAAAATTGCTTGATACCGACGAAGTTAGTGATGAGAAAGATGAGGCTTTGAACATGTGGATCCAGATGTTGCCTGGTTGGAGGATAGCCCAACATCACGCTAATAGCTAAAAGTGCGGGTAGTATTCCCTGATGTGCGTGTGTCTGAAACTGGATTAGTCTGCTAAAGGTTTTTCGGTCTAGTGACTTAAAACCTCAGGGTGAGTCTGAGTGTCAGGGTGATATGGTTCGCTAGGTGGAATCCGGAGCTGGGGGGATCGGGTGCCATTGACCATTGTGCCTTTCACGCTTCTTCCATCTCTGCTCTGTGTAGGCTCTCTACATATGCGAGTGGGTGGTAACCTGGCCTGTCTGTTCTAATGTGGGCACTTTCCTTTGTTAGCTCATCTGCATGTTGCTTCCTATAGCGCCATTCCCTTCGAAGACAATATCGCCTGCCGAGTACCCTACTACGCCATAGCCTGTGACTCTCTGGCCATCTTCATCTGTCTTGGACCCATCGGAGAAGACGAAGAGGAAGTCCGGGTCGTCTTCGTGTTCCGTGATGAACTCCAAGTGATCATCGTTCCAGGGGATGGACCTGGGATGTTCTCCGGGATGTAGACTCTCACACACTGTGTCTCTGATGTCTCTGATGTAAATCTTCCGTGAAGAAATTAAGATCAATGGGGTATGTCATTTGGGGGAACTAGATACGAGTTCAGAACCAAGTGTACAGGGAATGCCTACTAGTCACTTAAATCTATTTGTTCTTGTTCACTATCCATCACTATTGGAGCGTCCGTGGGGTCGATCTCAAGTCGGGCATAATTGACAGGAAATCTTGCCGCTACTTCAGCAGCTTGCTGCCGCAGTTCATGAATGAGATGGGGGTCCAAGGTTTTCCAGGTGGGCAGCCAGCAGGGATTTGTTGAGGGGAGGGAAAGGATTTGGTGTTTTACCTGATCTCGAAAGCTATCAATATTCGTGTCCAGTGGTGCGGTGTCAAGCCCAACATGCACAGCTTGAACATTGGCCATGACCCACATGCCACAATCATACCCATTCCGTTGTCGTTCCTCCATCTAGGGACTGTTAATGAATGTCATATTCGAGTCAAAGCAAGATAGTATACTTACAGTGACTACTTTCGTGGTCCAATTGAACCAGTTGAACCCATGCTGACCATCAGGGTGAGTGAACGACCAGACAGCGTCAACCAGTTGTTGGAGTATCTGTAGAAAGGGTATCACTAACACTGGGGCATGGACTAGAATCGGGCAACGCACTGTAAAAACCCAACATGGGCCATGGCAGTTTATATTGGAGGTTTCGGGGATGGGTTTGCTGTCAAGATAGCGCAGCTCTTGCTCTTCAAAGTTCACAACACCAAGAAGCCAGTGGCAGCGCTTCCTCGAATAGCATGGGACTGTCCAACTGGTTGCTTCAAAAGATCAGTTCGAATCTTTTTTGTTGCTCGCTAAGGAACTGGTCAGCACAGTGTTGAAGAGTGCACTCCAACATACATCCAATAGGCGAACTGCCAAATGATGTCGCATTCCCTCACACTGGGTAGGAAACATGATCACTTGGGGTCGGGTGGTACTGAGCAGGTCCCGCAGGTTTTTGTCAGTGAGGTCTTTCAGCATCTCAATGTATGCATCAATTATCGTGCCATCTATCAGCCGCCGGTGATTGGCCGTTACTAGTGCATCGGGGAAGATTGTGATGTGTTTGTAGTATCTTGTCTGGCCGTCTTGTTTCACCATCTAATGGAGCATCAGTGGGATGAGTGGTGGGAGGCCAGGGGAATTCTCACTCTTCCTGATTCTTTAGGCAAATACAACTCCATTATTTCCTTCCAAATTTTCGTTGGCTTTTGTTGCTGAGTGTCATATCCCGGAATCCCGACCCCGCACACTCCCACCACATCACACCTTCCTAACAACTTCACCATCCCCTACACCATGCCTCCCCACTCTCTAAATCACCTTCCCTCCTGGCTGTCTCAGCTCCGGTCGGGTTGCGGCACACCGAACCTTGGCTACTCCCATCCCGGAACCTCGGTCCCGAGTCGGAACATTCGGAGACCCCGGATTTGCTCCGATATCCTGACGGACCTCCGACATCCCGTGACATGCCCTTAAACCATTCCCTCGCCCACTTCATTTATTGTAGTCACCCAACATCCTTCGGACACGCAACTCCGCTTTCGGAACTAACCGTATCCTTTGGTGATCTCCTTCACGCGACCACTTATTAGTCATCTTCCATTCTTAGCATGACTACCTTCTTACTACCATTCAGTCGGCTAACCCCCCTTCCCCATTTGTCTTCCTCATTCATTTTCCGGCCTCCAACTCCGCCCTCCTTGGCCCGACACCTCGGTTCCCCGTTTTAGATATCGTTCGGAACCATTCGGTACCTCTCGGTATCATTCGGTACCTTTCGGTGTTTTCCCCGTTTTGTCATTTCGGGCTTTGACTAAAGTCCTCCCCACCCACTTTTATAAATACACGTAGATTAGAACCTGTAGTTCCTCAGTTCTAATCTCGACTAAAATGCCACCCAAAGTCCCTCTGAGTGATTCCTGTCTCTGTTCTACAAGACACCTCAGACATAAGAAATACAAGGACTAACAGAGACGTAACGGAGGCACAGCGCTCCCTCCGAGTCGCTGAGGCCGCGTCCTTCTTAGAGCCTCTTGTACCATCCAGCAGAACCGGGCTCCCTGAGGGGCTTCGGTTCATCACCGGAGCCCTCGGACCCCCCTCTAGTTGAGCCCCCGCCTGCATTCGGACTCACGCATTCACCCCTTCCTCCATAACCGACGGGTTTTTGACACTGAGAGGATTTGCTGGGCGAGTGTATAGCATCAAAGATTGTTGAAATTGGGGGAAGGCTCTGAGGACGAGGGTTTGATTCCAGAACATCTCTTCGATGTTCTCATTATGGCTGGAATTATTTGCATCTCCTGATTGATTATGCCAAATAGCCGTGGAGGTGGAGCCAAATTGGCAAGAGGCTCGCTGAATGTTTCGACATTCCCTGCAAGGTCAATTGCGCCATCTGGCCCTGCTTCTAGCGCATCATCTACATGGCTTGGGGCCACCTCAGGGTCGAGAGCATTTCCCAGGCCACTAGCTGCGTCGGTAGGCAGGTCGGGGTCAGCATGATCAGCATCTATGTCCGGCTCAGGACTCATCCTAATAAGCCCATTAAGGGCACTTAGCTCGTTTCTGGCCTCAGCATCGTCTTCAGGGCCAATGTCATTACTTTCTGAGGGTAGAGTGGTGGAAGATGGTGGGAGAAGGCGGAAGGAAGAATATTCAGTGGTACTTGGCATAGCATTGGCATCGGGACGCTCTAAGTTTGTGAGTAGATAGTGTGCTGATGCACGCCATAGATTGATGTTGGGAAATGGACTGTTTATGATCGTATCACGGCATTTGAGGGACAACCTTAAGCGTAGTTGCAATCGGTGGTTGAATAGGGCTGGGATCGAAAAAGAAGATTAGCAATACAGGTAATCAGTGGAACTTATGTGACATACGATGGATATTGTCCATGATTCAAATCAACGAGTCCACCAATTGGACGATCCAGGTACATGCATTAAGTTCTTCTCAGGCAAGCCTGCACTTTTCTTCCTCAATACGAGCAGATAGCATCGCTGCTGCTGATTGACGATGAAGGCCGGTGGTTTCTCATCCAGGGACCAGTTGGAGTTCCACAGGCTCTCCCACATCTTAGTCCATCGTTCATCACTGGGGTCCATATTGAGCACCTCTTTGACATTCATTTTCGCATGCACTTGAGAGTCTGGGAACCAGGATGGTCTGATGGAATGTTCGAGGCTGTTGACAAGCTCGTTATATTGTGCAATATGGGCAGAAATGGTTTGGGTGTGGTCATTTGCACTACTAAACACTGAGACCATCCTCGAGTATCCTTAAAGTACCGGACAGGCTCTTAACTACAGCATCATTCACCTCAAGCGGGAGAAGGCTTACCGACTTTTGCAACTAGCCGCCCTCCACGCCATTGGGAGCTTTCAACAGGGTTCATCTCATCCTGGTACTTGGCTAAGCGGATAAGTATAGAATGTTTGCGGAACCGGGCTAGAATATATTTCTCGATGTAGTCCCTTTCTGGGCCAGATGGATTTTGCGGAAGTTTCAGATCGGACAGACCGATTTGGGCAGTCAAATCGTGCAAGCATTTTTGGGATTCATCATGTAACTCCCGCAGATGCTGAGCAGCTTTGAAATGCTCCTTGAGATCGGTAGAACTATCGGCCATTGTTCGTATCAGGACAATATGATCCAGCTCCTTCTTTATGGCTTCCAATGCATCCGAATGTGCCTGAGCCGACCGTTCAGCTTCCAAAAGTTTTGCGAACTTTTTCATTCCGGCTTGGTCATTGTCTAGGACATAACAGCATAATCCAACACCGAATGTGGGATTGGAAATGTGCATACAAGCCCGAATGGAGAGCTGCAAAGACTTTTGCTCTTCCCACTGGGATTGAAGAAAACGAGTCGTGAATCCACTATTCTTCAAATCTTGGAGAAGTTCAGTCGAAAGTGCCTCCTCATGAAGAATGGTGGCCATTTTAGACCTTGCCAACGAAGCGAGATGGTCTTGACCACGGGATGCAATTAGCTTGATTTTGCTGTCAATAGTTGCAATCCGTTTTGCCGGCTATATTTCCGGAGCAACATTGCATCAGACCGGGCTTGTGGAGCGAACGGTATAGGGCATGTTGGGACTCACACTCATCATGTGTTCAGGTGCTATCATGTCAACCATTGAGGACCATAACCGCTCATTCCCAAACCCGTTTGACTTCCCAAACCCGTTGTGTTTCCATGGGTGGAACGCGATTTGACAACAGAATTGATGGGCATAAGCATGGAAGACTGAAACTGCGATGCTTAATCTGGGGGCAATTTCAGGGATAAGATTATACTTTACTCAAACATCAGAGGTTGTATCTGCATAGTGTGCGAAGTCATACCTTGGCCACGGATTGATCAAGAATGCACCCAACGTCATACATCAGTCCAGTGGTGGCATTTGAGGGGAGTTGGCAGCTGAGTGCAATGAGCATGGCAACTGAGAAGTGTTGCCATTCGCCCAGAGTGCACATGTCACATAGGAAGAGGGGAATATCATGACGGCACACAGTTGCCATCAGGCCCTTTGAACGGAAGGTATCCGTCTTGGAGGCTGACTTCCCTTCATGTTTTGTGGCTCAGTGGGATTCTTTGCATTCATCAATGGCGCCATCCGGTACAAGAGATGAAGGACAAGATTCCAAAGAACCTCTAGATGCAGCTCGTGCCTCAGAGACATGGTGGGCAGCTTCATCTATTTCAGCCTGGGTCAGGAATGTGCAGGTTTCGTTCCAGGGAAGAACCATCTCTCCTCCAACAAACATGTAATAGCGACAATGACATCAGGATATCTGGGGAGGAAATTAGCATACCCGTTCTTGAAATAGATGTGAGGACCAACTCATTGGCAGGACTACCCCACACTGACCCCCCAAAACACTGTGGGCATTTCATGTGGAGGTATGGGCTGGCACTGTTGCCAGAGCGTTGCAAAGTAGCTTTGTTCGCTCACAGGTCAACAATTGAGGATTCATGGAGGCTGGCATGTCAGGATCACTAGATATCATGCCATGAGGTACGATCATTGGATCGCCATCATGAGCAGATCCATCATGGTCAGGCCCTACAGATTTATGCGGTGCGTCAAGACATAGCGGTGCATCGAGCTCCACAGGGCCTGTGGGTAGGAGAAACTCTCTTTCTGTTTCAACCTCTACGACATCCCGCAGGGCCTTAAACCATGTAACCGCTTCGCTAAATGGGCTTAGAAAGGGTTCCTATATGTAAGTGTGATTATGTACATGTCAATGCCACACAAATAATGAATCTTACATTGACAGGGAATCCATAACCGTTCTCCCACAATATGTCAAACAAAGCGGCATGGAAGGAGGCAATCGGAGTAGATGAGCTCACATTCAAAGCTAGGTATAGGGAAAGGACATCGAAATGGAAGGCAACCTGAGGTATCACGGGTGACCCGGGAAAGTAGCCGGACTGGATGGTGCTAAGCGGGAGGGTATTGGAGGGACATTTGCAGTATTCAAATGTACGCTGCATGGCACCTGGAGTGAGGTCATTAAACCACTATTAGAGAAGCCAGGATACCAACGTACTTGAGGATGTGATCATCATGAGTGAATGAAACCGGAGGTATGTGTTGCAACAAGAGCAGAGCGACACTATCGGTGTGCACAGGCATCATTTTCATCAAACAACGTCTCACCAGGGGTACCAAGAGATATACGGCCCGCCTTCTTCGCCTCCAAATCTAAGTAGATTCCCACTGCTTTATATATCACGTTCTCGCACCAATGAAGCCAAGCTGCCTGCTTTTGTGGGTTCCGTGATGCTCTCTTGTTTCGTTTTTTGGGAGCTGATGGCAGCGGCGAAGGGGATGAAGGGGTGTCTGAGCCTGGGATAGTGGCTTCTGCAACATTTTCCAACCAAGAGTGGGGAGATTCTTCCCATATGAGTGACTCCATTTTTGGAGCCTGCAGTGAGGGGGGAGTCGAGATGTTGTCAGTGCACGCCAGCATCGCACTCCCCACATGATCATGGCGATTTGGGACCTGCCACCGATGGGTGGACTGGATTCCTGGTCCCCAGCGTTGGGTCACCACAGAGCCACCGGAGGTTGCTATCTCCACCCGTCGTGATGGCTGGGGGGCGGTGTTATCACGAGCTGAGGCATGGACATTGGACATTGAGAATTCAGGATAACGTGCAGGTTGGGGGTTAAGGAGATCGCCATGTTTTTTAGGTTTATTATAATTATATGGACGATATCTTTTTACAGGTGAAGTAGAAACAGGAGCCTTTACAGGTTTGTATCTCCTCGGCATGGTGTAGTTGCTTTGGAAAACTAACGCGTTCAGGTCAAAGCAAAGAACAGGGCAGGCCCTTCAACAAGAATGCGCGGGTTGCGCTGTCAATTGATCTGTAAAGGAAATGCGCGCTCAGCTGAACAGCCATGTGGATGTGGCTGCAGGACACACCAATAAGGGTGG